TGGTTTTAAGATCATTTCTGAAAATAACAAGACTTCTATTGACCAAAATTAGTCACAAGAAAAGGAAGCAGGGCTGGCCAATTGCCCTCCTGTCCACTGCCCAAATTCTAAGATGTTTGTAGAGAAAATATCTTGGCCTAAAGAAGGCACAATCCATTAAGCCACTAAGATTCTGCAGACTTTACTGGAGCTTGGTATTCTTTTCTCGTGTAACAGTTAGTCCAATTAAATATCCAGCTGGTCAGACACATACCTCCAAACACCAGTCAAAGTTCATCAATGCAGTTCACCTATTCAAAAGCAACACAACTGATACATTGACTGTACAGTCAATTGCTGCCATTTTCTGACCTTGAGGCCCCTTCATCTCAAGGCTGCTGCAAAGCTCCACTGGGGACATGCAGAGACTAGGCCATCACCTTCCCACCAAACAGCCATCCTGTTTGCCAACATCCCATGCTCCAGGCACCCCACACTTTCAGCAGGCGCTGGGCAAACTTCCCTTTTCCCACCCATTTGATGAACAACTCTCACAGTACTTAACACTAGAAAAGACCCTGGCACTCCTCTAAGAAAAACTACAGCCTGACCATAAGCAGCAGAGGTACTTGAGGCTGCAACCATATTGTACGGGTGCTGACCATCCTACTTAACCCCCGATTTTCCTGACTGTACCCCAGATGCCACTGAATCTTCAGTGCTGGTCAGGAGAGGTCAGACCTAAACACCAAACACACACACACACACACACACACACACACACCCCACCATCACCAGCAAAAGAGGCCCTGTAGACACAGCCATGAGCTTGTGCTTCCTAGCACACAGCAGCCTGCAACTGCAGTTCTGCTGAATTTCCTCAACTCTACATGCTATCATTCCTGCTTTTCCCCTTCCCTCTCATACAAATAGCAGGCAGCACTAAAATAAGATTGTCAGGGAGAAGGGAAAAACCTTTTGTTCAGAGCCTCCTATTTCAGGCCCATAACTGAGAAAAGCAAATACGTATTACATTAGTGCGATTAGTATTGAGCGAAACAAGCTCCTGTCATCTGCTTCATTTAAGTCTCTTCACAGAAGGCTGAAGATGAGATGTTTTCTGCCTACAGAATAGGCCCAGGCAAGTTTTTTTCTTCCTATAAGCAGCCAGTCAGTCCACACCCATACTGGAGGCCAAATTAAAATGTTAAAAGGAAAAAATATACATAAAGAATATTTCTACATACGCTGCCAGTACTCAGCTTTGCAGCAGACCTATGCACTGCTATGCCATCTTACAAATAGCTCTGTGAGGCAAAGAGATAGAAATCCTGTCCCTTGCCATGCTAGGTTTGGGGAAGCTTCTCCTATTGGTCATAAGGCAAGCATTTGAAGCCTAGACTCTGCTACCAAGCTCACTGCTATAACTTATTACCAGCACAGTCCCATTAAAGGCATCAGTGTTGAAAGCTGTTGCTTATATGAGCCCTGATGCCTTTCTGTCAAATGATAAGTGCAAAAACCACCCTCCAACAAGCCCAGTGCTCTGCATCATCCCTTTTCCTTAGGCACTACCCAAGCACCGACTCCTCACTGGGTCCTGGCAGCCCAGGGCCATGCTGCTACCTGCCCTGCTCCAGCAGCTCAGCCCAAACCCAGCCTGCTGCAGAACTGCACACTACATTTTGGGAGTCATTAGAGAGCTCTCTAGCCATTTGACCACCTGTGTTACTACATACATGAGGGACTGCCTCCTCCACTCAAAGCATCAGAAGGCCCTGCAAGCAGATCCCCACTTCTCCCTGCAAGATGGAGTTATTTCTACAGATACCTCCTCACAACCCAAGGGCTGGCTTCCCCATTTCCCAGCCCATGGGAGATAACATTGCTCACAACTGTCAAAATATAGCTTTCTGAGCTGGAAACCTTCACAAGGCTTAAAAAACAAGGCTTACAAGGCTTAAAAAAAATTGGCAAAGACTTGTTTTTATAAGCAAAGAAATACCGAAAGAATTTAGTGGTACTAGTCACTAAGCAAAGTTTTTGTCTATTAAGATTTATATTTTTTAAGATTTTTTTTTTTTTTTTTTTTTTGCTAAATAAAAAGGGAAGATCTACAGTAAGGAAACTGTAAAAGCTATTCATTGAAATTAAGAGATAATTAACTAGTCTTAACTTGTGCATAGCAGCAGATTTCCTCCTGGCAGTGCACTCATGCAGCTCTGTCTGCACTCAGCAGCATTCAGAGCAGGCAAAAGGCCGAGCAGGCCACAGCCTGTGATGCATAATAGGGCTGTGGTTGCTGCCACAGCTGAACAGTTCTAACAGCTCCTGCTCACTGCAGGGCAACCCTCCCTTTCTGGCCCCTCCTCCTGCTTCTCTGCAGGGGCTTCCCCAGTTTGCAGATCTCTCACAGCCAGCTTTTAGGAAGGGAAAAGAAATAAGAAATCAGCCCACTCCCCAAAAATATAATTTCTTTCCTGAAATGAACTGAGCTAACCAATCAGCCACGTGCTCCTGGGCAAAAAAAGGGGCAGGGACACATTGCTACTTGTGGGAAGGAAGAGGGAACACATCCCTGAAGCATCTAGACTGACTCAGCTGCAGCATCACAAGAAAACCTCACCAGTCTGCGGCTGGCACAGAAGCAGCTGAGATGCACGCACATTGTATCTCCAGCCTGACCAGTCTGCAATGGAAAAGGAGTAGAAAACAGCCAGAAAAGCAACTTCAACTCTCCCACTAGGTTTCATTGCATGCTCCATGTACCCCAGCACAGAGTTTGCTAAGTCTAGCATGTTAGAAATATCCCAGGCAGCTGGCATGCACTATGATTTATCGTTTCTGTGCAAATTAATTCGAGGTATTTGGAGAAAGTCTTCAGAGGAAAGGAAAAAAGACCACAGTTGGCTCTTTGCAATATTTTTAACACTGTTTGCCAGAGGAAGAGGTTATGGTTGTGCGGTGTACCCGTCACATGGGGCCAAGCAGCAGTGTAGGAGCAGCACTCCCAGCTCCAAGCAGGCTTGGCATGAGAAGCCATCTAAAGACATATGGCTATGACAAGCCCAAGTAAAAAATAATGCCACCACCAGCACTGTCACAAGGGGGAAGGCGAGCAGACATTTTCTTAATTACTCTCTGGAACTCCTCTCCAGATCTTCCCCGGATTCTGGCCCAGTCTCCCTAGAGCTGCCTAGCCAGTTCTCCCCAGTATTTTGTGCCTACCCAGGAAAGACACTGCATTAAATATCAGCAAAGCGTAACATACTCCTATATCCTAGCAGCTAGTCTTGGGACACAATCTGCAAGACTCTTGCTGCTTACAGCCTAGTTTATGGTCAGTTTCCCAGAAATATTTGCATGCTTGGATAAAGTTGACTGCAACAATTAATTTTCAATTTTAACTAATCACAAGCATTTAATCAGATGTGTTCTTAATGAAAGACAAAACAAGCTCCAAGACAGCCAGCAAAATCAGCATGAACTTCTGCAATATCATGTGCTTTATATTGCCCATGATTATTTTGAGGTGTAAAACAAAAAGAAATAGCATTCATTATGGAGGTAAAAAAAAAAAAAAAAAAAAAAGAAACCTATCATTTAACTGTAGCCAACACCAGAGCACAGAAGTGCCTTCTGATTGTTATTATCTGGTTAGAAAATATTTTATTTCCCATTTCACCAAAGCCCTTTGCTTTCTGGATTTCAAAAAGAAAAGGGAGGGATGAGTGATCAAAATGAAAGGTCTGAAGCTTTCTGCTCCTTAAAATCTGCCTCTCGTTTTCTTAGGAAAAAGTGAACTCAGAGTTAAATCTCTAAACACCAATCCTTTCTGCCAGCAAAAAGAGTTTGTTTGCCAGGGTGTCTTTAGAACATCAACACCACTGCGATCAAACATTTGGGAAGGAAATTGGCCCATCTATAAAGGATTTGGCCAGGACACAGCTCAGCTCTGCAAACGGCTGTTCTCTTTTTATGATAGCAGCAAGGTGTGAAGTAGAGACAGGGGAGTTCACACGTCTGTGAAGTGTGATGGTTCTCACACCTACCAGACCCAATACTAATACCGTACACATCTGTTACCAGATTTTAGACTATAAAATAGTATGGAAGTCATAACAGTGAAGATGAGAGAAAACTGTCCATATATTTTCTGAAGCTGTTTGAAATATAAGCCTTGTCATGTTGTTAAAGCAAAATACCATACTGAGTAACTTCACCACACCGTGGTGAAAATTACATTCTCTGGTGCAGTATTTAAACCAAAAAGCCTCCATTAGAGCAACAGTTAGGAAACTTTTATACTGGTTTAACAGTAGTAGAGTAAGCCTGGGGCTCACGTACTGCAAAAAAAAAAAAAAAAAAAAAAAAAGTGACTTTATGAATTACAGTTGCTGAAATTTCTCTCTGAAAGGCAAAGAGACAGATTTTCATCTGCCACATGAAGCTCCTGTGCAAAGCTAGATTAAGTTTATACCGATCAAAAATATATCTCAGCACCTCCAAATCTGTCCAAATCAGCAAGATGCACCACTTCTCAGAAATGGATTTTACCATAAAGTGAGGAATTAATCTCATAATGCAACAAATAATTGTCGTAACAGTTAAAACATTGGAAGCTTTCCCTCTTGTTACTTGCCAAACTAATGATATCATGTGATATTTTCACTGTGACAAACATCCTCCTTTTGATGTGTTTCTCTGTACCATCATTCTGCCTTTTTAATGCCTCTCCCCTTGAAGGAATAAGCCCTGTTCCTATTGAAGCCTACTGTCAGATAGCTATTAACTTTGATGGAATTTAGACCAGATCTTTCTCAGTCTAGATTACTTGCCAGCTTCTGAAGAGCCCCATGCTCTTAATCTTCTTAATTGGAGAAAACTGCAGATAGCATATGTAAATATGCGGGTGGGCTGTGTGGAGACTGCACATGTGAATTTGGGCAGTTGTGATGTTTAAATCTAGAACACAAACTTTAAACTGTATGACGATAACATATATCCGACATATCATGAATGCTGTTGTTTAATTTCCCCACAGTTTGGCCCTCCCTATCTGGACTCCCAGAGTCCCTTCAGTGAAGCAGTTGCTGGCTCTGTCTGTTAAGCTGACGGGTGCTATTACAATCTCCCATTCAGAATCAGCATTAAAAAAAAAAAGAGACAGATAACCAAACCTGTACCATGGAAGCCACCACTCAAAACACAGATGATGTGCAGGGCTGCTCTGTGGTGGCTCTGAGGGTTTTTTGAGAGTTTGAGAATGAGTGCTTACAACTGTGTGCATGTAAGAGATAAGCTGCAAAAAATACCACACAGGAACAGAGAGACAGCAGCAAGGACACACCAGATACAGCCAGAGAAGCACTGGTCCAGGAATACTAAAAGAAAAACGCCATTTCCACTAAAAAGCAGTAAGGAACCGTGAGAAAAGGCACTGTTCCTGAGCACAGTGGGGTTCACACAGCAGGAGAAACTAGCCTTCATGTACACTCTCTATGAAACTAATCATAACACGAAGATATTAGACTACATTGCCAATAGAGATAACCCATGAAAGACTCGATATTAGTTAAGCTAAACGTGTGACAACTTAAAAATAAATAGAAATCAGCTCTATTTCCCCAATAACTCTAAACATTTTCCTGAGAAAGAAGAGAATCCAGACCAACAAGGACAGTTTGGTGAGAACTTGGTTGGCAGCCTCACAGCTATCTTTGTTCTCCATACCCTTGAAAAGCACTTGCAAAAGCCTTCACAGGCTACATTTGTCCACCACCACAGCCACAGACCAGCCTGGCAGACATAGATCTGGGCACCAGCACCTAATTCCACTGTAGATCAAGCTCAGAAGAAATCTTCTGCATGGAGAGAATTTTTAATGAGATTCCCTAGTGTAAGTCAGTGTCTACGGAGGAATGGAAGCCAAGATGCAACAAATAGGACCAAAAAGATTTCACTAAGACTCTGTCTAGGCACTGGGGTAAAGATGACAGGCCAGAAAAAGATGCCAGGGTTGGAATAAGCTGTTCACGCCAAGAACTGAGTTTCTGTGAACAGAACTTCCTCTCAGCAACACCCAGAATAGCAATTCGCAAGTCTGGGGCACGAAGACCCAGGGGAAATGAACAGCCACAGGCAGGAGCCAAGCTTTCTCAGATCCATACATGGTCTCTGATGTACCCTGGGCCTCCCACGTAAGCTGCCTTTCATCTCTTTCCCCTTCTCATGTCTTGCTGCTTCAGTTCCCATTTTATAAAATTGAAAACTTGGCTTTACTATTTCAGCTCTCCACAACCAACCATAGCCCACCTTTTTTTCTGAAGCACATACACCCCTTTGCTATTTAAAAGGGCACTGTCAGCAGCAATAAGATTCCAAGACAGAAAAACCTATCATCCTGCTGCTCTGTAGCACCAATAATAAACTCCAGTAACTTGTCAGTCTGGGCTGGAGTCAAAATTGGTAACAAAACAAAGCTTACATTAGCAAACTCTAAGTGTGCTTATCATGCATGTGTTTTAGCATTCAGCTGAAACAGGAACAAAAGTGCCACATCATCATCATCATCTGTGCCATAGCATCACCTAAGGAAGCTGCTTTCTCCCTTCCTCCCCCCCCGCCCCTTTCTGCCCATCAGGAAAAAGAGTGCAATCTTTGCTAGATCTCCTATGTTGCACAACAATTGAAATTCTCATGAAGAATTCCAGAGCAAATTGTTAGCAGACTGTACCAATTTCTTGTTGTTTTGTAATTTTTTGTCATATAGTTTGGACATCTTGTGACCCTCAGATTTGAGAAAAGTTAAATTTAATATTTTTTCTTAATAAGTGGGATTTTCCCCTGTTCACTATTCTTGGAAAGAGAAATTCTTCCTAAACTCATAATTAAGGCAAAGTCAGAAAGAGTTCAGACTTTATGAGGGAAGGAGTAAGCTGTGAAAGTACTAAAAATACTGTGGAATTTAGATTATGTTGTTCTGGATCTCTTTCTAAAATAAAACCCACAGCTTGATAGTTTTTCCTTCTCAAGAAAATTTATTTCACTCAGAAATTCAAGTAGATGCTGAAGTAGATTCACAATTTAAAAAGCATGGAATTTAAATATGTAGTGCTCAGTTTTACTCTTATTGTTACCTACAGTCATATCGTAAGAAGGTACAGGACTTCTTACTGAAGATTCTGGTTCTCATCCATTTGAAGTACAGAAATACCTTCCCCTCAAACTCAGCTCTACCAACCCTTCACAATATGACGTCTCTTTCTTTTTTATTTTCCAGTTTGTGCAAAGCCCAAATGAAATCTTCTAAGGGAACTTTGGAGACAGCAGAGGGAGCATCACAATAGCTCCCATGTGGGATCACTTCTTGCAGAAGAATCCAGAGACTTCAGTTACTCTGAGGACCCTATTGTGTTAAGCAACACACATGCCTACAGTAAGCACGCTTACATTGTTTCAGTACATTTTCCACACTAGCAATGGATTTTTTGTAAAGGTCATCAGATGCAAGCTAGTCACCATTGGGAATATAAATTGTATATTCTTGATGTTCACTCAAAGGAAAAAAGAAAAGAGAGCTTTGTAACTTTATTTTTTTTTCCAATTAATTTTACTATTGCTCTTTACAACATCAATAGTCCTGGCTCTTCTATAATGCTTGCCATTCAGCAATCTCAGAACATATCAGACACATTCTTCATTTATAGTAATTTCAGACGGAATCAAAGCCTAGAAAAATGAAATGACAAGCGCAAGTCCATTTATGTATAACAGGAGGCAGAAATTTCAAGAATAAGTGCTTGATAGGTCTCCAGAACACGAGAACAGATTTGCTGGCTGATGCCACTCAACATGTGGTGGGAGAAGTTCCGTCCTCCAACACTGGCAGCTTCAGTAGAGTCACCATTTTATAACCAATAGTATCTACTGCTTCTATATACCTGACTGGTTAGTAACATGCTTTTTCTTAGTGGTTCTAATTCTTGAGTTTCACCTATACACTGAGGTTTATGGGCAACTAAATCCCCTTCAATTTCTTCCTATTGCAGAAAACTGACATTTAAGCAATGGATTCAATACCAAGACCAAATATGCCATTGGGAAGACTCTGTCTCCAACAAGTGCTGCCATGAAGGAGTCCAGTCTGCAGTGGGATGCAGACTGGCAATTCCACCAACCCTTCTAAAAGCTGAAAGCCCAGCTCTTATACACCCATTTTAATTGGGAGCCTAAAGCTATTTTACTCATCAGCAATAAAAGAGCAATTAAGTTTGCAGCTGGAAACGAATTAATGAGATACTGCAAACAAGCTAATTAACTCATGGGTATTCAGATAGAAACCACACAAAGCCCCACAGGGTGTGCTAATTACTTTGGGGGGGGTCTAACTAAAATAAAACAAAAAAATAGAAAACCACAACATTTGGAATAAAAGCTACAAGTCTGTCATTAAGCAGTCCTACTGCATGTACAGCGAGCATAGGAAACTAGATACAACTGTGTGCACGTGGAAATGACCACAGACCATATAGTGTGCTAAGAACAGTATTAAATTTGGCAACATTAAAACAGGATCTATTTGCTGAATTTCTACAGGCAGGTGTAACAGGGGAGCACTCTCCTCACTGTAACCAGAAAGATTTGGCACAAAAGTTAGTCTGTAAACACACTACTGTTGTTTTGGCAGCTTTGAGGAGAAGGAAAGATTTCACATTCACAACCAGATAGCCAGAATGAAGTGTGAGACTTCATGCAGCTCCTGGCCTAAACAGACCAGGCACAGTGTGAGGAAGAACAAGAGGATTTCTGGGTGTGTGTTAAGGAAGCTGCAGTATATGTTATATCATATCTGACAATTGACTTTAACTGTAGGATATTTAATTGCCACTGACTCAGGAGTTTGAAATAACTGGTTTGCTCATCCTCATGCTTTGCTTTGGTCATTTATGGCCATGTAAAATCCTGCTTTTCTGACATTCTACTGAGCCTTTTATGCTCTAGTACAAACATAGAGAATGAAATTGAGAGAAGCAGAGAAACGAGCCCTTTCCATAAAGTCTGTGTGATAGCAAAATACAGCTGCTTTTCAAATCTCAAACCCTTTGCTGTTTTTAAGAAAAAAGCCAAAAGTTCCCAGCACTCATAGCACAGCCTCAGCCTACCGGATTCAATAACCAATCCAGGAAACTAGTTTCAACATCAAGTTTCAAAGAGGTTTTTGTAAACAGAGAGCAAGCCCACAGAACAATATGATTCTTGATCCCTGTTTAAGTAGCAGGAGCACAGAAAAGCCTCAGAAGTGGAGACATCTGTATTTATGTAGGGTGTTTTCCCTGTCTCTTTATACTCTATTAAACTGCAAATGGAATTTCTTTTCTGAGTAGACTAGCCCTAGCATCTTAACCCATACCACCTATAACAATACTGCCACTAAAATACAAGAATGACACTTTCTGAACTGTATAAGCACTGCAGTTTGTTTATAGTTGGTATTATGGCAGATCACAGCAACCACCAGAGTCTTTGGGGTTCTTCTGAAGTTACAGAGGGACAAGATCAGAATCAGGCCCTGAGGACAGCTTTTATACAACACAGCTAGTTCAGAATCCAATTTCATAAGCCTTTTTCTTCATTTGGATTCAGTTGCAAGTGAGACATTTGTCGTCATCTGTGCGCGCACACTATTTTTACTTTCCTGTTAAGACAAGCTAGAGTTCAAAGCTATCACACAAAGCCAGGTGTAATATGAAAGTGGACAATGAGTTCTTATTGATACAATTACAAAATAATTGTTGCCTGACATCTCTGTACTTGCTTAGCTAAACAAAGTTTGCAATAAAAAGAGTTTAGGATTCATCTTGTCAAGGAGATATGCAAGTCTTGGCAGCACAAGTCTTATCCACAGGCTGACAAAGTATTTGTCAACCAATCTCTTCCTGTACTGAAAATAGGAAAAAAGTATTTATTGCATGCAACATGCTTTTCTACAGGAAATATGTTAATGCTCATTGTGGTCACTTAACCAGTCTAATGCAAAGTAAGTTACACTTAAAAACATAGATGCATGGTTTTTAACACTGCAAATCGCCTTCATTCCTAGCTCAAGATTATTCTGCTTGTATGTATTTATTTTTCTTTCTAGTTTACTTTGGCTGATTTAAGAGGGAGGCACATGAAGTCACCAGCACACCCAAAGCTTATATATGTTTTGAATACCAGTCTGTGACCCCACTGTTTGCACTTGTGCATTAGAGCTATAACTCAACACTGTCCCAACAAGCAGTGTGCTGCAGCTTGCCCAAGGGAAGATAAGTCAGAGCATAATCTACACATCCCGCAGCTCTCAAGGCTGTTAAAACACATATGCTATCTCTTGGAGAAAAAACAGGGCTCCAAACTGATCTTAAGCTATACTGAAGTATAAAGTAAGCAAGGCAGAGTAACTACTGGGTTCTGGTCTTATTTCTCTCAGAGCTCCTTACTCAACATTAAGGGAAAAAAAAAACAAGAACAGGGAATTCTAAACTCATGTGAAAAGAATGTGTGATTATTGCTTGTTTAGTGACAAAGTTTCAAGCCCACCTCCATGGCAGCATCAAGCTCACTGCTATTCTCCCTGCAAGTCCAACAGGGGAGTAAGACAGACTTCTTCCCTCAAGCTGAAAGAAATATCCATGTGGCTTCCATCTCCGCCACTCAAGGAGGTGCAGTTATAAAAATAAAACATCATAGTCATGCTAAATACAGCCTCATGGAAAAACTGGAAGTGGAAGAACTAGATTCAGGGGCACCTGGCTTTTATTCCTGTTTGGTCACTGACTTTAACAGGCTGAAGAGACTGCCTTTGTCTGCTACCCCTCCTCCCTCCCATAAATAAATTATAGTCACAACTTATTATAAATAACATTTGCACTGCAGGAATATTACACTAACCTGCAAACACACTGTCAGGTTTAACTAACATTTAAAGAGCACACTGAGCAGGGCAAAGTACTGTTAACAGTCATAAAGTGCTGGGTTTTGAGCTGTACTGATACAGCAGTGCTTTGGGCTCCTCAGTTTTATATTTTACAGCCACACTCTTATCAAACCATGCTGCATAACCGCCAGCTTCACAGAGTTCCCGTGCACAAGCCTCAGCTGAGCTCCTGCCACATTGCCTGCTAAGCATTTCCTCCTAGGCTGTTGCTCTGCACACATTAGAGGGCGTTGGCTTTGATGAAGAAAGTGTGAGGATTATTAAAAGCCTGAAAAAAAAAAAAAAAAAAAAAACCAACCAACCAAACCTCTTTGCAATTCTTAGAAGGAAACTGAGTTTCTGAATCCAAACTGAAAGTGACAGAAGTGTCCTTAGGAAGTTCCCTTCCTCCTCCCATATCTACTTCAGATTAGCTTATGCCTTATAAAAGAAAGTCTAATATCTGAAAATCTACAATGTACACAGACATCATGGAGCAGGCGTAGCAGCAAAGCCTGCTTTTCTCTTGAATATGTTTTTCAGCATTAATGCAGCATAGCAATTAGAAAATTTTAATCCTAGACTTAAAAAAAAAAAAAAATTAAAATAGTAATGAAGACCAAAAACCAAGAAGGTTGGTATTTTCTTATCTTAAAAAAGCTTAGAGAATATGCCACACAATTCTACGTTTTTCCTCAATGTGGCAAGAAACAAACGTTTTAAACAAAATAGTTACTAAAAGTGGCTCAATCTTAAATCATCTTTTAATTTTGGTTACTTGATAGGTTGACCTCAGGCCACGACAGGAAGCATTTTGGTTATTCCTAAGGGCAAGCTCATGAAGAGGGAGAACAGCGCGTTTGCAACCAGTTATAGCGTCAAAGCTTTGTTAGTCTGGTTTATTCAACATTTTTTCTTCCTGTATTCTCTCATTTTATCTTCCATCAAAAAACTTTCAACACCAGAGAGAGATCTGCTCCTTGTCACAAAGCAGGACTCTCAGTCCTGACCACTCCTCAAAGGGTTTCTCACTTCTCACAGCACTGCAAGTCAGCCATCCTGCTCTGTGTTCCCTCATCTGTCTCCTGCTTATAGCAATTTAGGCAAGGAAAATCTCTGTCTCCCTTACAGCACAGGTTTATTTACATCAACAGACACAATTTAGACTGGATTAAATCGCTGTGAAACCACATCTCAGGTTGACTTAAATCCCAATGTGTTCCCACTCTTTCCATTGCTGGTGCTCTGACCATACATAGAGTTGTATCAGGCAGCTTTGCTGGCAAAAGGGCCTTCTCCCAAAGAAAGCAGGCACATTTTAGCTGGCTCTGTGAGCAAGATCATTGCCATGGGCAATCCTCAGAAATGAAAGGAGTAACTGTGGGAGAGCAGTTGCTCTGAGATAGTAAACTACCTGCAGGTCACCTGTGCACTCAGCCACAGGAGTGCAAGGCAACTTGAGCTGCCCCTGCCTTCAGGGTGAATCCCGAGGTTGAAGGGGCATAAGTTAAACTCTTTAATCATTGTAAATTAGTTGGAGCCACCTGACATTGGCTAATGGTATGCAGACAGACCAGCTGACCTGACACAACTGCATGATGCATTTCAAATTTGAGGAATACTTTATTATTATTATTATTATTAAGTCTTTTCTAAAGTTAGTGGCCCAGAGCCTGCACATCACTGAGACCCATTCTTCAGAGCCTTCTTAAGGGGTCTACAGAGCAGAGACACTGTTCTGCCTTAACAGGAGCAGGTCTTCAGAAAATATCTATAGATAAAGTGGTCTGGATAGGCTTATTTTTTTCTTTTTTAAATAACCACAACACAATCCTTAAGTCCAAAAATTTACTGAGCTTCTCCTTTAAAAGAAAAAGACATTTCAAAAAAATTCCCCATGGAAAAAAAATATCTTAATCCAAATATTCCCAAACAGGCCATTATGAGTAAGAAAGCAAGGGCAGAGCTATTTTAATCACTGTAAGCTGCAGTAGAAAAAGCAGTAGAGGAATAACAGGTTTCACTTGTCATTCCAGAATGAGTTTCTCCACAGTTCATTAAAATAAAAGTGGAATCAGTTTTTCAAAACTATTTTGTGATCTCACTGAAGGAACAGAGTTGTAGTTCAACATACCTTCAGAAAAAAAAAAAAAACCATCCACGTGATCTATCAGGATATCATGTCAAATTCACTTAACCTCTAGAGAAAGAAAAAAGCTATTAAGGCTATACAAGTCAGTACATAACACCACCCTGTAACTTTGAAGACTTTAAAGAAACCCATCCA